ATTTACTTCAGTCGCCGTGAAAATCCATTAGGACGAGGCGTATCGAGTTCTCGAGAAGCGCAACATTTCCTGCTCACTTTGCAGCATAATGCAATCTATCACAAGTTCTAAGTCAAATTGAGGCAAATGCCGTGCAAGACACAATAACTTCTTTTTGTCCTGCAATTTGACTGATTTTTCTTTTTTCGAGGGAAAACTCGGCAAATGTGCGACAGATAATGCCAACTTTGTAATTGTTTGGCATCACGGCCACTGCAAGAAGCATAATTTTGCATATCCCACACACAAAACCTTATCTTCTTATGTGCTTGCACACAGTTTCCCACCGGATGGCACACGCTCATTTCCCTTCACATGGCGTTACACATATTTACACGAGCAGATTGAAATTTAAGTTGTAGTGAAACATCACGATGAGTCCTGAAACTATTAATAGTCACCACAGCTCCTCCCGGAGCGCCACAAGGGACGAAGAGGTGTAAAATTGAGATTGAATGTTTAACACCTCTAACAGATTTATGGGTTTATCGACCATAGATTAGTCACTGGAAGAGAATCTGCTTTTCCCCCGCCCTGAATTATTCTCTTTTCCTCCACTCACTTAATATGCCTTTAGTGTAACTATAGCCACACATCCGAATGTACACGCCGCGGAGTGCGAAGATGTGAAACTCTATCAACAGCGGTCTAGCCAAGAGGAGGACTTAATATATAGTCTCAAACACCCACTCCTGTTGTGCGAGAAGTTTCAATAAAACCACATCAAATGATAACATTCAGAGTCCAAATTACTTTTAAGAATCTCGCGCAGAGCAGAAGAAAGACAACAGAAGACTTTGCAAAAGTATATTGGAAGTATTTCAATGTTTGCAACACTATTTTTGAAAAATGTCTGAACAAAATTTTCAACTTATTTTCCTGTGTTTTAATAATTATTTTCAAACTTACGAATTGTGTGAATTTTTGAGGTTATGATAAGATAAATTTCAAGTGTTATTAAATGCTATTCAGCCAGTTATTTATTCGGAACAGAAACAATATTTCAGTACGATAGTTTGAAACAAGGGGAAGATAATGTGGCTAAAATCTGTACATTATTTTCTGACACTTTCACAATTTGTATGAAAAATCCTTAAGACTTCCCAGGACTTCAGACTTCATTGATTGCTTATAAGAAGACTTAAATCAACTAATAACTGGAATCTAACCGAAATCTAACTAAAATCTAACCGACAATTTTAAGATGTTATTCAGTCTTAAATCAGTCACATAACCTAGAAAACAATGTCAAAATTAGGACTTGGATTAAACAATAATTTCTTAAACAATAAATCAAAGATGTGAACCAAATATTGCAACACTTCCTTAAACTTCCCCTGATCTCAATCTGCAGAAGAATTCTCACAATGATAGAATTGAATTCTCCAGAATTTTCCCTCAAAATACTTTCTCAGCTACATAACTATTAGCCTCGGCGCTTGAAGTGGTGCGAAATAAATATTTCACATGATGTACGAGGGCGAAAATAATTGCACACCTAGTCTGAATTATGGGTTCAGCGGAGGTCGGGTGGAGAGCTGTATATTTCCCCAGTCGCATAAATTTGTAGCACACTGAATCTTTCAGAATTGTCGATACTCTATATTGCACGGCGAGGCGAGGCGAGGCGGGGCGAAAGCTGCAAAAAGTGGACGATCATGTGGGGATAATGGGTGCGGCGGGATTGTGCGGGGATGTCGCAGGATGTGAGGAGCACAGTGAATGCAGTGAGATATATAGCACAGCCTCCCATTGTCAGCTGTGCGGCGGGAGAGCGCCTACAAGACACAAGGGGTGGCGAAAGTAACCGCACAGCCGCCCACAGAAGCGAAAACTCAAAAAATATTTCTTTATGACGTTCACATACAAACGACCGGAAACAGCAGATTTGTTGCAGCTCCACACAAACGCCAGAATTCCAAGGGAGCACACAATATGCTTTCATAGTCGACTGCAGGAGCTGTATTACCATATTTCATACTTCGCCAGGGAAGATGTGCGCTCGGAAAGCTGCACATAGTTGAGCTTTCACGGGGTTGAATGTTGAGAGAATGGCAGCGACTACACCTGTTATGCCCAGCAAAACAGGATGCTTCAGCCTTTTTTTTTGTGTTACAAAGGCCACTTTTTCTGCAATACAGCTGTGTAATTACTTGAAATTGCTATAGCAAAAGGATTTTGCTACTAAAACAGGATTTCGTGTTATATATAGCTTGCATAAGACAGCAGAGAAGATTTACAGTGAATATTATTGTTCTGCGAACTTCCAAAGCATTCAAGTTTCCTCTCTGCAGAGCTCAAGGGGGAGATAATGTGGCTATAAAGTGTACACGTAGTTCTTAAAACCCTTCAGAATTTAAATAAAAACAGAAATTGTGAATTTATCAACCGAAAAATAAGATAAAACACTGATTTTTGCATTTTATTTTGTCATTCTTGAATTATCTTGTCAGAAAATTGATTGTCATCCTTAATTAAGAGATTTTAGTCGTTTTCAATTGATATTTTTGCAGAAAAAAACTGCTCTAAATAACTTTTTACAGATACTTTCTTCGATCATAACCTCAAAAGTAACAAATTCAAAGCAAAAAAGTTTAATTTCAGCACAATTTGCAGTATTTCTTTGTCTAAAAATCCAGGATCGCAATCTTTTGTATTCAAACAACTTGATTTTGTCCAAAAACAAAATTAAAAATAGTTATTTTTCATTATTATTTGCTTGGGAAGTTTTGCTTCATTTAAGAATTGAGGTTATGTCTGATTATGGCGTCAAAATATAAGTCAAAGCGCATTTCTGTGTAAGAAATGATTTTTGAGATCAGAAGGATTAATAAAATCAAAGAATTCCTTTTCCTTGTACTTCTGTACACCACTTCTGACCATATTATCTCCCTCTTGGCTAAGCTCTCTCTTCACTTGAAGTGCCCATGACATATTATGTATTCTGGGATGCATTAGAAAAATACTCGGTCGACTATTTCGATTGGCTTTCCGTGCGATTTATGTGGATGTTCGCCGTGAATTCATACATCATCAGCAACCTGTCTCCATCAGATTGATGAGTTATGAATGCTGGGAATGTTTGTCAGAGAGAGTGAAAGAGACAGTGGCAATTGTGAGGCAGAAAACGGATGTAAATGGCGCTGAGAAGGATGAAAATGGGACGAAAGGGATCCGCTCCGATAGGGTCAAATAGAGGGAGTATAATTGGTCTGTATCTCAATATTTGTATGGGATCTCAAGACATTTTCCCTCTCTCTCTCTCTCTCTGAGTTGAGATTGAAATTTAAACTTAAATGGTTATTTTCATCTTTCGGTATATTTCATGCTAAAATTTCCCCGACAAAACTTTCCCCATTACACAAAAGTCCTTTATTATTTTACTTGTAGTTCCAATTTCAACTGACCTAAGTGCCCGTCCTCAGGCCATATTCGATGTCGACATTATAACCATTATAGCAATAATGTTCTCATATTTTCAACTGAAATCGCCGATCACGTTCCAATGGCGCTTTTCCCCCCATATAAAACAAGAGAAAGCTGCATATTGAAAACTAACACTCTTAGCATTGGCACACAGAGTGTAGAATCGAGTGGAATATGTTGTTTGTTATTTGAATAAATCCAACTTAAAACAAATTGTCGAATGCAAGGTTGGAATATGTGATAAACAATTCGCTGGACGATTTAATATCCCTCTTATTTCTGAGTAAATCGCCTTTCTCTGACATAGATTGTCTACCAAGTGGACCAGAACACATTCAGGAAATACTTCCAACGGCATGAGATTGCATTTTCCCAGGGAGGAGATAATCTGCCTTGAATCTGTACACCACTTCTTGGCACATTTCCACAGTTCTGTGCAGAATCTTAATTCTTCAGACACTTTTGAATGCGTCAAAAGACATTTTCTACTGCTTGTTTTATTGATTTCTGACTTATCATGATATAATCCAGGTTTTTCCGTCTAACAAGCGCCGTTTAAGCTCTTAAAATACTTAGATTTCGGATTCTAAGGCATGATTTTGAAATTCCAGGACTTGTTCATGAACAATTTCGCAGTATTTTTCTAGTTTCGGCTTTGGAAAATGCTTAAAAAAAACATTCTGACCAAATTGTGAGGTTATGAATCTGGTTTTCAAATTCTGCTTGGACTAATTTTGATCCTTTTCTCCAGGATATGAGGTTGAATTTACAATTTTAGAGCACAAACAGCGGAAATAAATAAGCAAAGAAACATTCTTCTAAACAGAAATGACATTTTTGAGGTTATATTTCACTTTTAAGCCTTTTTCTAACCAAATTGAAGTCTTTTTTGAACCAAAATGCTCAAATCTGGCGTGAAAAAGAGAAATACTCCAAAATTAAACACAAAAGGTTATTTTTATCACCTGAATTTGATTGAAATCAATAACATAACCTAAAAAAAAGCACTAAAATTAATTTTTGTGAGCAAAATAATTTTGAAAATGCTTAAATTTATTGAATAGGAAGCTTTTCATCACTTCCAATTCCTAACACTTCTTTTAAAAAGCTGTACACCACTTCCGACTACAATATCTGCCCCTTGCACTTTCCTGAGAAACACATCATCGATTCTCGGATATCTTCAGGAGCAATTTCACAGGAAAATTGCACAAATTCCAGGAGAATTGAGCCTGAGTGATCTTCCTATGGGATTTTCCTCATTCTGACACCAAATGTTCATCGCATTTACCTGAGATACTCTCAATTATGCATCGATTGACATTTACTTTGCATACAATCACACACGGTTCTCCATAGCATAAAAGCCTATTTAATTAATCGTTCAATTTGGGATGGACTTTAATTTGAAAATTTTAATTGGAGCTACATATTTCCACCCGCAACACTCTATCACAACTCAATTATTTTCATACTGCCACGACACATGTTCACACAACATTGCATTTTGCCCAATTATGCGTAATTTTGAATACCTTTCACAAAAGCACAAATGTATAGTAGATTGCAAGGGGCGGGAATTAACTGAATTTTCACTGGTGAAAATCCTTCGGCAACTCTATAATCTCTGCAACACGCGTTGAAGCTGTGCCGATCAACCCGAAGAGCATCGCAATGTTCTGCCTCGCGTGATCTTAGCACACAGACTAAAGAAAACTGCCCAGAGCGCCTCAATGGGCGGTGAAGAGATATAGAACGGTCGTGTGGATTATTTTTGAACACGGAACGATCATTTATAAATAGACTCTGCACATGTCTATTTCATTTTCCTAAATTAACACAATAATTCTCAACCATAAATCTGTAACACTATCAAAGGAAAAAAGTTCACAAAGGGTCCCTCACAAGAGCCTTTGCACCACTCTGGATATTATGTATATATGTTTTTATGATGTGTGGTGGGAACAATTGCAACACATTTCGTGATATAAAATTCCACTGTTTATTTTTTCATGACTCCGGCCAGAGTGGTTGAACATGATGAATTTACACTTCATTTATTTATATCACAAAGTATAAAATGATTTAATTATTATCTTACGTTGTGGAGCAGCCATAGAGATTGGGATGGCATCTGAGCCACTGGGCGAATGGAGCATTGGGAGATGTTAATAAATTGTTGAGGTCTGTAATGCCTGGCCCATTAACTTTGTCCACAAAGTGCCAAGTGACTTAATATAATCGTGACTGCAATTTCCAACGTGATTAATTGTCGCATACAAGCAATTTCTCATTCTAATTTCGTCGTTGGGAGGCTCACGTTGTGGCCAAGAGAGGTGTATCGTGACACGCGAGATGTACCACAATATTGACGTGAAATGAGACAACAAATTGTGCACTGCAATATTGGACAGATGAAATGTTTTGGGGGGTGAAGAAAAAACCACCCACATTCATCTCTGACTTCAGAAGACACTTCAAGTGGATATTCGAGGCAGTATTTCACATACATTGCGATGATAGATAGATGTACCCAGTATCGCCTGGGTATTGAGATATTTGCCATGTCTCTGGCCAGGCGGCACAGGATGGGAAACTTGGGAGTCTGTGGGGATGCCGAGTGATTTATCTGCTCTGAGATCAAGAACTATGGCATATCAGAATCCACAAATGTGTCCACATTGCGCAACACTCGCAACATCATCACCCATTTCTCCTTCTGTCCATCTAATTGACTTCAAATACAACATTCTTTATTCGCCACGCACTTTTGAGTTATTGGAACTTGGCGCGAGGCAAACCACCAGGCGTCCCCATCTCACCACAGCAGCCAATAAACTTGTCCATCAATCTTGATTTTTTCACGAGAAGTACGTGTGTAAATTTAAAACTTTAAATCCAGTACGATAATATATTGTCACACACAAAGTGTTGCGACCTCTGCTTTTCTGTCTCATCCTTTATTTCTCAACTTCTCACGCTCAATATTTGAATTGACACAGCAATATTTTAACTTTAACAAAATATCGGGTCTCAGAAGCTTCGTTCTTCTTCATTTTTATGCTTAAGAGCCGACACACTGATCTGCGCCTTCTTTCTTCTCCAAAATCCTTGCAACCAGAGTCAAATTCACCGATATTTCGCGGCACCGCGTGTCTTGTATTGACCAGGCTATAAATTTGATACGGTCAAAATGAAAATATGCAACTCTAAAAGCTTTATATGATAAAAGAAAAGAATATAAAGCAAAAATACTCTTTAAAAAATTGGTTTTGAACGTTTTGTTGAAGTATAAAAATTCTAAAACCTCTTTAAATATTGTTTGTGGTTATGGAAAAAGTGTTTTTAGTTGTCTGATTGATTAATTGATATGATAAAACTGATTTACTAGTGAAAATTTCATTTTCTAGCATTGTTTTTGATTTATAATCCTATAATTTATCAGTAATGTGTGAAAATGACATGGAAATCTTGGAATTCTTCCATAATATTGCTGAAGTCAAGGAATTTGGACTTCAGCAATATTATGGAAGAATATGACTGTAGATAAATGTCAAACATTTCACAACATCACCTATAATGTGTGTCAAATGCTACAGAAACGATTAAACCTTAAATTATAGCCAAGTGAGAGAAAAAAAACTGTTTGATCGAAACACCTCTTTTTCCACTGAGTTATATATGTGTGTAATGTTGGGTTCGACGTCCCAATTGCGAAATTTTCCGTCACATTTTTTATCTCTGCTCCTCGTGTTTGTTGTCTCGAATCCCCGCGCTTTATTCAGCTCCACTTCAGCGCCACATGGTGCCGCTGATGCCATCTCAGCAGCGTCAACTCGCATAATATCGTCACTGAAGTGAGCGCGTATTCACCTCTGAAACATTAATTTTCTCATTTTCACAGCCAGCCAAGGAATTTCCACGGCTATTTCTGCCACACAGAAAGCTCATACACCACTGATGGCTGGCCATGTGAGTTTTCTGTGCCAATTGAAATTGGAAAAATCACAGTTGTGACGTCACCTCGCGGCGCTATAAATCTATAATTGTGCCAGCATAATGATGAAAATACGTGCCGCCAGACTCGCTGTATTGGCGGCTTGTGGGGTGATTTGAATGGTGCATCTGTGCTACAAGTTGATAATTATATTTGGCGGAATTATTAATTAACATCGGGGAGGGGGAAAGTGGAGAGCATTGACTCCGAAATACGCCATGTCGGCATTGTTAATTCACTCCCCCCAAAAGCACAGCCAATGGTGATGACTCGTGAAGGGATGATAAGTTTATGAGATTGAGCAAAGTGATTTGAGTTGTTGCTCATGACACTTCACTTAGCACGCGATGTGGCGGAGGAACTTTTCACATCGCATAGCTTTCGATCCAGCGCGCGTTGAGATACTTTCTCCGATTGTCGTTCAAAAATTTCTACCCTCCACGAGGCCCCGAGGGGTGTTGAGGTGAAGTCAATGGATGGTAAAAAAAAAAGAGCCATCAAGGGATCATGAGCACTGTTGACTGACATTATATGGGCGAACTATCGAAACAGTGCAGCAAAAGAGATGAGCACAAAGTGGCTCAATATTTGCTGACACCGCGCGATTCCTCCGCTCACAATCTATCGCTCAAAATCAATAGAACGCGTTTGTGTGCGCGCTGAAAAGGTGTGCGAAAACTCGAGCCCGTGAATCTGACATAAGCGTCAATCTAATCTGAAGAATACGCCAATGTTTCGAGAATATGGAGAGGATTCGCTGGAAAGGAGAAATAAAATCCGCATCAAGGTAAAATGGGGCATCGCATATTTCGGCGTGTGTACACAGCGTGTATGCTTAGCCCGGTGAGCACAGAATGCTGAAAAATCAAAGATGAGATGGAAAAAGCTGACTTTTTAGCATTTCTCCGCTAAAATCTCAGACATTTACTGGGAGATCTAGCGATCACAGCGCGGAATAATCAAAAATGCAAAACCGTTCCGTTTTAATAATATACTTCATGATAACAACACACTTACCTTCTTGTGTTTGAAATTATCGACAAATGAGGTTTTGACGATGGATTTTAACCAAGTTTCTACAGCCTAAACACTTGTGGTAAAAAAGGAGATAACTTCAATCACAGTGGAATAACACCCTTAGAGCGATTACAGACTTGCTGGTGATCCACGAGATGATAAGCGAGAGCGCGACTAACAGCTGATTGAGCCATAAAACGCGACTAATCCCTCGATATATCAAAGGTTCAGTCGATATTTATTATGGCCGAAAATACTCCGAAACATTTCACAGCTCAAAACTAAAAAAAAATGGCGGATCTCTTGCGAATTATTTCGTGGGTTCTCAAAATCATTAACTTCTTCTGCAAATTTTCCATTTTCGCAATTTTATCGTAATATTTCACGCTTTTGACAAAATAAACAAATTAATTGACAGCTGAGAGCGACAAACGAAGCAAAATTGGCGCTAGTGTCGACAAAGAAGAATAACCCCTGAGTGTGTTTAGCGCCAGTTCAACCACGAATTGTCGCTAGTCTGTAATAGCTCTAACATTCTCTCGGGCACGGGATATTTTTAACCAGAAAAAAGCAATAATTTTAGCAAAAACAAATAATCCAGAAACAGAAGGAAATTTGCTAAAAGAATTCATAAAATTTTTGCCTAAAACTGCTGTGTTTGTAGCACAATTGAATTTCCTTCAACATAGCGCTTCTTAGCTAAAATACCTACCCTTTTTAGCTTTGCTGGTTTGCTGGGAAGGACGAGTGGAGCTTTTTAAAATCGCACGTAAGCTTCTCTATCTCTTCGTTCACTTACATTTCGTTGCTATAGCGAATTGTGGTGGAGTGTCCTTGCGCTGAAGGAATCCAAGCGGAGATTATCACAAGTATTCCCAAGACCAAGATTGATGCAGAACATTTTCGTTGCATTTGAGCCAAAATGCCGTGACGTCGAAAAGTGATGCCGCGAAATTTTTGCCGTACAGCCAATTTCCGTCATATTTCACATGAATAATATTAGCCCATGAGTGTGGCACATAATAGCTATAAAATCAATCAATAAAACAAATCGTAAATTTTCGTAAAGTGGTGTAAGCATCACTTAAACGTGAAAGCGCATATTTTACACATCCTCGCGCCGATAAAATAAGAAATTTCTCCCATTTTGTGTACATATTTTATCCTTATTCTTCTCCCTTGCTCTGCATCGACATATTTTAATGCTGCGGGTAATAAAAAATACAAGCTTTATTATCATCTAACATCCTTGTACATTATATTAAATACAATATTAAAAATTTGGGGAGAGGAAAATGCGTGGGAGTTTATCATATTCATGATGGGACATTATTATTGCCTCCAAAGTTGTTTTTTTTCTCTCTTCTTCACATTGTTACGAGTTGTTACAATGAATTTCGATCATGATTGAAAATTGCAATGATTTGCTATTAAAATATTTTACGACTATTTTATGCTTTAAGTGTTAAAACGTTTTGCTTACATAGTCAATCAATTCGTCAATTTTGTCTAAAATCCCCTTTGGAAATTTCATTTTCTGAGAGAATTTTCAGAGAATTCCGAGATAATTCCCAATAAGTTGGGTGACATTCTAGTCCAAGGATATATATTGAAATATTCACAAAATTTCTTCTACTTATAGCTCTGACATACCATGTAGTGTTAAAATTGACAAT